AAAATCTTCCTTAAAAGTTGGTCGATTGACTATTTTTACTTTGCAGATCGTTAAATTGGCCAATAAGAATGCAAGATTGTGATCAAATAATTACTTTGTGTTACTACTTTGACCGTTTAAGGGATAGTTTTTTAATGTTCATGTTTATAAAAAATATTGAGAAACCCAAATTGCCCAAACTAGTTTGGGCTTTGAGAAAATAGTTTGGACTAGAAACCTTAACCTCAACCACATCATCCACACTTGTTTTTCTATAGAGTTTTTTCAACAGTCCAAAACCACAATCACATTTAAATTTATATGTCCTGGAGTCATTCAATACTTTCATAATAACCACAAATTACCAAATATAAATAAAATCAAATTGTTACATTATTTTTATTTTGTCCCTGGCATTATCACAAGTAATCTTTAAATGATTTTCACCTCTGCTCAATTTCTTAATTCCACCCAAAATCATACTGTAAGGTGGTAAATCTTGGACCTATCAATTGTCCCGATTAGTGTTGATCAATTAGAATGAACTTACTACAGAAGTCACATGGTGAACTAAAATATTACACCGAGGTTGGAATCATTAATTTATTAAACGTTAATAAGCTTTTAAAATAAAATAAAAATAAAAATGGTGTGTTTTTATTTTCTTTGTTTAAAGCACTTTGATAAAAACAACAAGTGTAGTTCCTTAGTAAAAGGTAACAATTATGTAGCTTTGGCAAAAAGGCATGTTTAGTGAGCAATTAAGCAGTGTTAGAAATAATGTTGGTTAACCAGTGAGATTAATAACGTGATTTGCTTAGTGAGTAAGCAAAGGTTATGATTAACTGATGGGTGTTAATGAAGTATTGTCCAAAGGTTAATTGGAAATACTGGCAGAGTTGTTGTAATCATAAATGTAAGGCTGTTAAACAAGCTACTTAAGTTGTTTTGCAAGTAAACCAAAGTGAGTTTGCAATCGATCAATAAATGTGAACGACTGAAATAAATCGAAGCCCTTGAGCTTTGTAAAAGGCCATCTTTATTTATCTGGTACCATTAAGTGTCTCACAGATTCGTCTAGGTGCAAGAAAGAGGGAACCAAAGTAAATCCGTTGACCAATTAATTGACAAGCACCAAATTATTGCGAGTTTCCTGTATAATCAACCATACTTGTTAAATAATCAATGTTAACTGAAATGATACCTTGCAATACCACTATTTAACAAGAATAAAAAACTGCGAAAAATTTATTATTTAGCTTTAAGAAATAAAATAAAGATAGACAAATAATTATAACAAATAATTTAGGAGATTAAATTGATCATTCATCGATCCTTTCTTTTAATTATTAGGACCTACGCAATTAAAAATATTGTTAGTAATAATTAATGGATAGTAAGTTCCAATTAATAAATTAAAAATGAAATTTTTATTTACCTTCAACATTCTAAAGAAAAGAGTTAAAATCAAGATTATTTAACGAACTATCATTACTTGTATAAATTTTCAAGCTTTTTGATTTAGCAATTTCTTCATCTAGTATTCTACTTGTATGATATGCACCTGGATGTGATTCATGTACTTGTTGCGAATCACTACTACCATCACTACTAATAGTATTATTACTATTATCATTATTATTTTTAAAAACTTCATTATGTCTATTTCTAGCAAAATTTCGAAGCTCTCTACTAGTTGGTCTTTTTAATGGATCCACATCCCAACACCTCTGCATCATTTGCGCATAATCATCAGGCA